CCCAAGTCAAGGGTCGTATATACTGACCCAATAGCATATTTTGAAAAGTTGAGCCAATCAACAATTTTAAGCATCATTTTCGTTCTCAGTGACCCAGAATTAGTAAAGTTTGACTACATTTATTTCAGAAGCATTTTGGCTGTAGAGCAGTGCAACATGAAACAGCTTTTGAGGTGCATAAACTATGACCAACATCAGTGGCATCTTTGTGGCGATTTGAAGGTTGTTGCTCTCTTGCTTGGTCTGCAGACTGGATACACAAAGTACTGCTGTTTTCTCTGCGAATGGGATAGTTGTGCAAGAGATTCCCATTACATCAAGAAAGATTGGCCACTCCGACAGTCATTGGAGCCTGGGAGGAAAAGTGTTCAGCATCCACCACTTGTTAAATCAAGGAAGATTTTGTTACCACCCTTACACATCAAGCTGGGCCTGATGAAGAACTTTGTCAAGGCCATTGACAAAACACAAGCAGCTTTCAAGTACCTCCATGGAAAATTTCCAAGGTTAAGTGAAGCTAAGATAAAGGAAGGTGTCTTTGTTGGTCCTCAGATTCGTGAACTTCTTCGAGATGATGCATTTTACCATGCACTGCGTGGCAAGGAGAAGACGGCATGGAAAGCCTTCCAGTTAGTGGCAATAAATTTTCTCGGAAACAACAAGGCAGACAACTACAGGTTGTTGGTGGAAAACCTCCTCAAGGCATACAAAAGCCTTCGTTGCAACATGTCACTAAAGATACATTTTTTGCACTCTCATCTAGATTTTTTTCCACCGAACTGCGGAGCAGTGAGCGACAAGCATGGCGAATGATTTCACCAGGACATTGCAACAATAGAGAAATGCTATCAGGGAAATGGAGCCCATCAATGCTTGCAGACTATTGCTGGGCAGTGACAAGAGATGCTCCATTTAATGAATACAAGAGACAAGCCAAGAAGCGCCGAGTAGACACTGAATAGGACTAAACTATGTACAGAATAGTTTTTTGCCTTTTGTTTCATAATAAATTTTATTTATATAACCCTTTTGCTGATTTTTAAAGTGTTACATAAACAGGACAAGTGAAATATTATCATGTAAAGTAACCATAAACACATGAAGACCTAGGTTTACAATTTATGATTAAAACTCTACTATCTACACAATATACATAGACATAAAATGTAAAAACTTATATTTTAGAAACAGTAGCCAATCAGTTGTTTTAATTGTCATATTTGAATTCAGCACATCAAAATACATAATAAATATCACATTTTATCTCTGAAGCAGACGACTTCTCAAAAATTGTAGACCAGTGTTATTCTATGGCACAGAGGTGAAGAATGTGTGGAGCTTCCAGAGAATCTGGGCTACAGTGCAAAAGCTCTCAACCAAGTACTGACAATGGAAATGCTTTATTTGAATATGCTTGTAAAACAAGGCTTATGCACAAGACTCTAATGAGCTAAAAGCTCATGATTTGTACAGTGCATGTTTTATCCTGGTCTGTCTGAATCAAGAAGGTTATCTAACAGTCACAACCCAGTGCTTCCCCTCCAACCCCGTCTAGGCAGGAACAACAAAATGCCATGTAGTGTTTATAGATGGTTTTGAAATGTCCTGACTTTATTCAAATGTAACCTTTTTAACCTTATTTTGGTGAGTATGCTCTAAAGTAGATGCAAGTTTTTCCATTAAAAAGTTTATACCCCTACTACTGCTCCTCTGTTCTCAGAAAAATGACATGACCATGGCGGGGGAGAGAGAAAGCTAAGAAGGGTGTGTTTGCCAAATGGGAAAATATTTATCCTCATTTCACTCTGATTAATCTGCAGCAGTTGCCAAAAGACATTCATAACACATGGCAACCAGTTTTTCAATTAGTGATAGTGATGAGTTATTATGTGTTTGTTTACATTTATGGTGGTCTTTGGAAACCTATATATGCCCTACTTTAATAACCCAAGGGAGGTATAGATTTTAAACTGTTTATTCTATAATTTGCCACAGTGGTGCAGAAGACAGTGTTTTGCAATGACGACAAATTGACAGTGCCTTCTGGTTTTCAGTCCACTTCTCAAAGTGTACATGAATGAAACATCCAGGTGGTGATGCTGCCCACTTTATAACTTTTAGCCCACTCATTAGACCAGCTGCCTGAGATGTGGGAGAGCCAGATTCAATTCCCCCTCTCCACAGGAGATGAAGAAAGGATATGAACGTGACTATTTAAGTATTTAACCAAAGTGGAACATTCATTGGGCCAGAGAGAAAGCAAGAGTGAGTTAGTCTGTAGTTCAGTGCTTAGGGCAACCACCTGGGAGATGGGAGACCCTGGGTCCAGTCCTCTCATTCCAATCACTGTTTCTTTATTTATCCTCAGTGGAACAGCTTCACCAGGAGAGTCTGTTTACCACTCCCCAATTTTTGCATCATCTGCAAACTTTCAATTATTTTGTTTTCCTCTTGGTCAGTAATAAAAATCTTAAATAGCATAGAGCAGTGATACTCAGCCTGAGGCTCGCAAGCAACAAGTGGCTCTTTAATGTGTCTCCTGCGGTTCATTGCACCACAATATTAAAAACACTGGTTAATAATTAAATCATACAATTAGGATGTTTTTACTATGATATTAACCAATTAAGTTATCAACTTGCACTAAGTTACTAACTTATTTGATGTGAGAATATATATTAAAAAATGAAATATTTTCCCAGTCATACTGTTTAAATATGAGTAATAGTACTATAGTAAATGAAACAATGAATTCACACAACTGTGGCTCTTTTGGGTAATGTTGATTGCTAATTTGACTCCTGAACTGAGGTCTGAGTACCAATGGCATAGAGCCAAGAACTGATCCCTGTTGGACACCACTAGAAACACATGCATTTGATGATGATGATCCCTATTTGTGAGGTTCTGCAGGGATGGGACTGGAACTCATTTCTGCAAGATGGCCGACATTTCTAAGCCATTACCCAGCAGCCATGGTAAAGTTGCATGCATTACCACATAGACCCTGTGGTTATACCACCACTGGTAGTACTGCCTTGGTAGGACAGACTGACAGCTTCCCCCAGGCATCCTATTTACTCCAGGAGGAATTCCCGGAAGTTTCCATGCAGCAAGATGGACTCCCTTACCAGCTGTAGCAATGGCGCTACCTTTCCGCTTGCTCTTAGACTCCTGACCCCAGCTCTGACAGTTGGTTGTAATCCTCATTTCCTGACTCTTGATCTGATCTTTAGTGCTGTTCCTGGCTTCTGACTGCCACTGCTCTGATCACTAAGCCTGACTGCCTACGCCCTGGTAATACACCCATTTACAATTACGTTTGGAAATGTATCAGTTAGTAAGCTTTTAATCCATTTAATATGTCGCATGTTAATTTAATATTTTGATTTTAAAAATCTAGAAGGATGTCATGTGGTACCAAATCAAATGCTTTACAGAAATCTAAGTATATTACTTATATTATCTTTATCAACTAAACTTGTAATCCCATAAAAAATATATATATATAAAAAAGGATCTATTTCCCTTAAACCCATGTTGATTGGCATCAATTACATTACCCTCCATTTAATATTAATAAAGTCCTGTATCAACCGCTCCATTATCTAGCCTACAATTGACATGAGACTGACAGGCCTATAATTACCTAAATCATCCTTTTTAAATATTGTCACAATGTTAGTTTTCTTCCAGTCTTCTGGAACTTCCCTGGTATTCCAAAACTTATTGAATAAAAATTAATCATCCAGCAAGCTTCTCAGCCAGCTCTTTTAAAGCTCTTAATGCAAGTTAACTGGAACTGCTGATTTTAAAATGTCTAATTTTAGTAGCTGCTGTTTAACATCCTTCTGAGATATTAGCAGAATATAAAGAGTGTATAATATGACTACATCATCTTTTTTCTCCAAATACAGAACAGAAAGATTTATTGAATATTTGTGCCTTTTCTGCATTTTTATTTAATCATTTCCATCTACTAAGGTACCAATACACTTAGAATTCTTTTTGTTCTTAACCTAAGAAGGAGGTTTTTAAGTGAATGTCTACATTGCAATTAGACACCTGCAGCTGGCCCATGACAGCTGATTTGAGTTCACGGGGCAGTGCAGACATTTGGGTTTGAGTTTGTACCTGGGCTCTAGGATACTATGAGGGGGAAGGGTCCTAGAGATCAGGCTGCAGCCGAAGCCCTAATGCCTACATCAAAATTAAACAGACCTTTAATCTGAGCCCCACAAGCCCAAGTCAGCTCCTCCACATATAAAATATCCATTTCCTGGACCTCTTTAAGGCTGTCACTTTATAAAGCACCATCGTTTTCCCATAAGCCCAGCTAAATCGGGAAAGAATTCACAAACCCTCACCTCACTAAGTTCTGCCCCATTCTCTCTAACGGAGAGAATCCCAGTTCAAAACAGTTTGCTTATAGTTACATGTAAATTCCACTGACACTGTGGCCTCTAGAAATTTAGAAATTTCTAACCTGATAATTCTCTGTTAGCAGTTTCTCTCCAAATTCATTATTCCTAGGCTAATGCCTACCACCTGCAGAATTCAGAGGCAGACCAGTGTTGCTGCTGGAGGCTCCCTTCAGCTCAAGCCACCAGAAGAGCTCGTCCACAACTGTAGAAACATGCCAGCAAGCATTTGTTAGCATTAAGACAACTTGATATAATGTATTAAATTAATCATAAGACAAACAGATGTCTAAGTATCCCTTTAGAGAAATAAATAATTTATATTGTGGGCATTTACCAGGGTGGGTTGAATTTGGAAAGAAGACGCTAACAGAAAGAAAATGTATGGTCATGGGAACTACTTCCAAAACCTGCCTTTCAGAGATAATGGCAACTGGAAAGGCCAGCCATAGGCTTGTCTAATTTATCATTGTGCTTAAACTTGGCACCTGATATTCAAAAGAAGGATCCTATATGTCTGTCTACAAAATGCTGCTATGGCTGGTACCCACATTTCTAAAGTGCTTGGTTTTATTACTCCAACCAGATCTCCTGGAGAATCTATGGTGTAGCAAGATCACTCGAACTTTGGGATTATTATAATATTTTTAGCAGCATAGCATCTAGAAGTTAAGGCCCCATTGTGCTGGGAACTGCACAACCAAAGAGACAGTTCCTGCCACAAAGCGGTTTCTGTTTCCCCCTCACCAGAAATGTAAATTTGACCAGACCAATGAAAGAAATATCCTGGTTGAGTTCAGTTTGGATACCAAGCTGCATTAGAGGTTAGTGGAAAAATCATGCTGAATTACATTCTCTTCTGATGCCCAGATTGTTAATTTCAGGTGTTCCTTGTCTGAATGAAGGAGTTCCTGTAAAAAAAAAAAATTAACAGTGAGGGTAATTAACCATTGGAACAATTTATCAAGGGTCATGGTGGATTCTCCATCACGGGCAGTTTTTAAAGTGAGATTGGATGTTTTTCAAAAAGATCTGCTCTAGAAATTTTAGGGAAGTTCTTTGGCCTTTGTAGTACAGGAGGTCAGACTAGGTAATCACAATGGTCCCTTCTGGCCTTGGAATCTGAGTCTCTAGGCAGTATGCTATTCATCCCGGCCTGTGGACAATGCAATGGAGGAGAGGTATGCATACCTCAATTGTGGAACTAGCATGCTAGATGTCCCTGAATGTCTGCCTGCCTGCTCCTTCAGACTGGCTAGCACCCAAGGAAGTACTGTAGGTGCAACCTAGTACCACTTGGGGGTTGCCAGGTGCCAGGTTTTCAACCAGAAAGTCCAGTTGAAAAAGGGTCCAGGAAGCGTACAGTCAGATGTAAAGAATGGACACAAAGTCCAGTTACCGTGGGTTGTGGGGAGGTGCCAGGTCATCAACCCACGCTAGCTCCTGCTCAGCTGGGGCCACCTCCTACTTGCATTTCATGGGCAAGCAGGCTCTGTGTCAGTCTGTGAGCTCTGGAGCAGAGGGAGCCCAGCAGGGAAGAGGGGGGCAAGTAGGTGGAGAGGATCCAGCTATGAGGAAGGGGGAGAGGGGAAAGCAGCAAGGGGGCTTTTCTGTGTTGGAGTTGTGGCTCTTTGCCGAGTTGGACCCAACATGCTGGTCTATCTCTGAACCCCATACCCAGCTTTGCAAAGGTCAGCAGACTGGGAACAGAGAGGACATCATTACCTTTCATAGAGCCTGTAAGTGCTGCCTCATATAGGAAGCGCCACATAGATTTAAGCCAGGTGGTCTGCCATGCCTGAGTGGGAGCAGAGGAGTCTGAAAGGGAGATGCTGCAGGGGCAGATCCAGGTGGTTGAAACCAGCAGGCTGCTATTTACCCATTCTGGAGGAAAGAGGAAGAAGAAGCTTGTAAGTTGCAATTGCACAAAAGATGAATACAAATAAATATTTTAAACTGAAATGGTCAGGAGAAACTGAACTGTCAACTTGTTCCACCACCTGAGGCAGAAAATCTGGTGGCCTGAGCTGAAAGGAGAAGCTCAGGCCACTGGAGCTACAGCAAAAACAGTGACAGCTTCCAAATTCCATGGGGAGGGCGGTATAACCCAAGAGTAATGAATAAGGAGTATCCCCCACCCAAGCTCTCCCTCTAGATCCATAAAACACACCACAGTGGGTGGACCACACATTAATCTAACAGAGGACTTACTTACTAATTACATATCCAAAGTGGTACTGGAACCCAGCCCTCCCAGCAGACAAAATTCTTAGTCTGGGATTGATCAGTCACTGAGTCCACAGAGTTGATTTTAAACTCCTTTATAGCCCCACCCCCCAACCTTTTTGCTCTAATTATCTCAGCTCTTAGAATGGGATCTTGGGATGTGACATGTTAGGGGGAGTGCCTACAAAGTAAACTTCCTGTACAGCCTCAGAACAGCTACTGAGGATATCTGATAACTACCACACCCTGTTCTGGAAGTTTCTGGATCTTTCTAACTGAATTTCTCTGCCTTGCTTTCTGCGGCACATGTGCAGAGACACAAGATCCGTGTTTCTTACCCACTGATTTTCTTTTCTACCCTTCCCCTGAAGAAACAAAGTCAAATGCAGTAGTACTAGGCATATGGGTTATAGATGCATAAAAGGCATTAAATTTACACTTACAAATATCCATTTAACTTTCTGAGATGCAACACCATTTTTAGAAATTCTGTCATTTCATTTAAAAGTAATATTAAATCCAATTTAGTAGCCACTGATTGTAAAAGGGTAAACCAAGGGTGTAAAATATGCAGTAAAAGATTTGTACAATGCATACAGAATGGTATTTTCCTGTAATTGGAAGTAAAAACTTGATCTTGAATTCAGTCACTTGCTGCTCTGGCTCATCGAATAAAATCTAGTCAGAGAAAATTCTGATTAATATGTGGATCCAATATACTAATGTATCACAACTAGATGAAAGTCTTGTATTTTAGCTTTTAGTAGCAGTATCAGTGGTTCATTGTGGAGAAGCAACACATTTATGTTAACTGCAATATGTAGAAGCCTTTTCTAAAATTGGCAGCAAGCATCCCATCTGAAAGAACCCAGAGCAAAAATAACAATAAACCCCACCGTTCTAATTTTGCTCTGAGGGCCTCAGCAGCGCACATACAGGACATAAATAAATCACTGTGGTCAACACCTAACAAATTATAACTTTAAAATGCTTGGTGACAATTTGAGGAACTTTTGCATTACTCCCTCTTGCCTCTTAGAACTACTTAGATAATCTGGAGCACGTTGTGTGATACCACACTCCATTGTTTGCTGGTCTAATGCAGTCTAACACAGTGTAATGATAAACATTGCAAGGGTCAGTTGAATCATATTTATCAGCCTTTTGTCTTAACTGTCTATTACTTGACTCAAATTTACTGTACAAATTATAGAACCTCTATTTCATGTGGACTGGGAGTTCTGGGTTACCACAGTTTTATCACTTTGAATCAATAGACTGCTGCAGGAAACTGGTTGTAGAACACTGAGTACATTTGGCTCACTTCATCCTGGTGTTACTCCATGTGTTTCAAATGGAGATACGCAGCCAAATTCACTCAAAGCAGCTTGGAATAAGCAGGTGGCTCTCTCATAGAAGTTTCTGGGCTAAATTCAGAATTGCTGTAAATAGTAGTTTAAGTTACATATCAGGTGTAAAATGGCCTTGTCTCTCAAAGAAATGGCCTTGTGTCTTAAAGTTGTGTCAGTTTGTACCAATGTATCATCCAGTAGAGATGGAAAAAAATGTAATTTGCATTCTGAAGAAATGGAATGGTATGACAGAAAAAGAACTATAAGGAATGGTTTGTTTTATATGCTCTCTTCTCTCCTCTACCTCCCCTCACATACTGCTTAAGCCTGCACCATCTCTAACACTTCTGAGCCCTAATTCAGTTTGGTATTCATCAGAAGTGACTTTCATTGATTTATGCCAGGACTGAATTTTTTCCCCACTGAATACCCAATCGCTTTTGCACACTCACAAAACGGCAAATCAGTGTAAATCACACAACTTTGTAATCCGTTTTAATACTCATTTACACTTGACATGTATTTTATGTCATTGCTGAATTTGGATTATTATACAAATTAAACCCATGCAAGACTGGATGGTTTAGAGGACTGGTAATGGATTTAGTACCTCTCACCTATGAAATACTGGTACAATTCTAATCAGACCAAAAGTTATCACCATATGATCAGTTATAAAATGAATTTAGTCACCTTTTGGTTCCCGTGGATTACATTAATATTAAAAATTGTTAATCCTACTTCCTTTCTAGCTATGCATTTTACTATTTCTTTGTCTCTAATTTTGGGGCAAATCTGACAGTTCATGGGAGTTCTTCTGTGTAAGGCAAGGATTTTGATGTTCCTCTGGATCTTGTCCCAGATTTCATCCTTGGCAGGTGGAGACCTATGGAACAAGTTGACATTTTAGAGGCTAGTTTGTGAATCAAATATTTTGTTTGTATGTTTTCCTTTGGGTTTGGATGGGGATTTTTAGGTTTTATTAAGCTTTCCAAAATACTTCAGGAGTTGAGAGTGCTACCACACCCCTCTTGAGCCAAACAAGTTCCTTTCCTCATTGAGAAAGCTCACTTCAAAAGAAAATTACAACTTCAGCTGGCTTTTATTTCCAAATGCTTGCATTACTCAGAAAATCTGAGTTCATCCTGTTTTGTGGGATTTCTGATTTATTTTTCACAGTCAAGTTTGCTGTGTTTACTGTATGTGTGTCCACTTTCCTCACAAAAAAATCTGCAGTGACCTCCGGTCTGACTTCAGTTTAAAGAAAGAAAACAGTAATGTAAAAAGATACTGCTTCTCTGCCATTACAATGAAAAACATCTGCTGAGGCATTTACGGGCATAAATCTCTCTTATTATGGACATGACTATTAATTAAAATATCAGTGTCTTTTCCAAATAAGGAACTTAATTGTAAAGCTCTATTTGAATGTCATAATCTTAGTAATGAAAGGAAGAATTCTGTTTCTATTTTTCCTTGGTATTGCTGTAAAGTGGAGATTGCCAGATTGTGTTCCATGGTGATCTTGGTGGTGGTCCAGAGAGCTGGTTGGTCACAGGATACCTGGTCCTTTTTGTTTCCTGCTGCTAAATTGCATTAAAAGAGATACCTACATTAAATACTTTCCTAATATTGCTCTTCGACAAAAGGAAGTGCAGAAGCTGCCAAAGGATCACAAATGGGAGGAGAAGTGGCTTGCATGATCACGAATGTGAGCAGAAGTGGTCTGAAATTAATCTCTTTTAAAACACTGTCCATATATCAACAAATCAGTAATATCCAAGGATATAAAAATGTCTTATAAATTTGGTATCCATTCAACTTTAGTTGCCTGGGCCTGCTTGGTAGTTTGGGAGCAGTGTATGTCACACTGCCTTGCTGCAGTAGGAATTTGTTTTGGGATCTTTGTTTGTTTGCCTAAGTCAGGGTCCGGTCTGCCTTATTTCAATCTTGCATGATTCAGATTGATCAGTCGAAGAGGCTGCACTGGCTAGCTCTGGACAGAGCGACAGTCTTTTCTCCCCTATTAGAGGGCAGGTTCTCATGGCACAAGACTTCTAAGGAGATAATAAGTCTTTCCATGGAAGTGTCCTATCTATCTTTTCCCAAAAGGATTTTCCATTCACAACCTGTAAAATGTTTCCTTCCTATTGAAGTCCAGTCTGAACATGAGACATGTTTTTTTAGATGCGGACTCTGTCATGTAAACACTTTCCTAATGATTTATTTAAAAGGATCCTCCCTGTTTTAATAAGTAGGGCTAGCTGTGGTGAATAATCAGTGTACTGCTGTGTTTTGGTTAAAAGTGAAAATGTATCCTCTACAGAAAACCCCTTTCTAGACTTCTTTTTTCTTTCTCCAAACCCATATCTAATCGAGAAGCAGAAATAACTTTCCAAAATACAGTAAATGTAGTGGGTGTGTCAAACATTTAGCTAATGGATCTGGCCATGGATTTACTGTAACAGCATTTGTTAGAAATTGTGAATGATGCCTATTTTTATTGGAGTGAAGTAACATTTAACCAGAGGTAATATATATGATAAACTTGCAACACTAGCTAACTGAAAAACACATGGGAACAGCATGTGTGCCAATTCAAATAGAGTTTTATTAAATGCACCTGATTTTAAGCTACCTTTTAGTATCCCATTTAATAGCTTAATGAGAACCAGTTATAACACAAATTTTTGTGTGTGTTATAGAATTCAGCAAGCTAAAGATCTGACATGCATATCAATTTATACAGAGAGCATCAGAAAAGAATAATGAGGGCCTTTACTGTAAATAAATATAGGAATTCTACATGGCCTTCTATATCAACACAGTATTTTCACAATCTGCTGACAACATCTGAAGCAGAAGCTATCAAAGCTTTCCTGAGACCTTTTAACATAAAGACTGTGTCATGAATTAAAGAGCTCAAGCTGTTGACTACAAACGAGGACTCTAGAATTACCAATGAAGAATAGTACCTATGAGTGACCATTCTTACATTAACATCTGCAGCCATTGAAATGACCACTTGCTCCTTGAAGGCAGGGGAGCAACCTATTATGGACATGTCCTAGTGTCCTCTTTCAGCTGCCATTTCACTGAAGTGCCAGGTGCAAAAGATGTGCTTTAAAGGAGACTATAGAAGAGCGTAATGGTCAGAGTGATTACAAACTGATAATTGCTTACTCAGTATTTCCTCATTTCAACCAACTGGCTGCTTCAGTAATTATTTTCCTGTTCTCTATTGCTGTAAATGATGTGCCTGAAGTTGGGGACTGCATCTCTTCTTTATAACTCTAATCCTCTATTGAAATCCTGGAAATGTAGCATTAGTTTTAGTATATCTGATTATGCAATTGCAATCTTAATCCTGGAATCAGCCACACTTTGTAGTGTATAGTAACTTTTAGGTGACATAAAATTCTTCCCCCTCTCATATCCATATACTTAAAAACCCAACAGATTTCTTGCTGAGTCTGGTGTGAGAAAAGATTTGACTTCAGACCATTAACCACATTCTTAGTAACCTTATAGTTCTTAGTTCTGTTTGCAGATACATAGGGATGATGGGGGTCACATAGCACCATACATCTTGTAAATTCAGCTACTGTGTGTAGGAGACAATAGAAAAGTATATAATAGTACTCACAAAAGTGTCAGGGTGTTTTACATGTAAACACATAATTTTTGGGGGGTGCTGAAATATGGGGATTGGCATCTA